TGCCACTGGGCTCTTCTTCTTCCTATCTGGTTGTCCAGAGCATCAGAGCTTCAGCTTCACAAACAACTCGACATAGAAAGCCTCTGTTCGTGGTCTGTGATTTTGTTCATCCTGTCTTCCATTAGCACAAGTCCAAATATTCTTTTTCTGTGCAGACATAGCAAGCATAGGCTCGAGGTCCTGGTGTGTGGGTGCCTTAGCCTGTCACAGATTTCATTATGCCATCTGCTTCAACCTGAGCCGTGTGTCTTCTGTTAGCCGACTTTATTGAAGTTGCCATGGCTCAGGATGAGAAAAAAAAATCCGACTTGGCATAAGAAACTAGCTTTGGGGTGGGGGGGGGAGAGAATAATAATTGAACATGCCTGATGTAGATTTTAAAATAAGCATTTGAAAGGATTCCCAAATGCCTCTTTTCAACACACTGATTTCTTTTTTATCTGAAAATATAATAATGCCTGATACAATAGTGGGATTATTGGTAACTCTGGTAAATGAATTCATTTTCTGTTTTATTAAAAGGATTGTAGCTAGGATAGATATTAAGTCAGGGAATGCACTCTTCAGTACAGGTGGGTGACATGTTACAAAATGTTTTGATAGCTCGTCTCAAAGGAAGCTTTTTTACTGAATGTCTCATTTCTAGAAATGATATCTATAATGAGTGAATGTTTTAGGTATAATACAGAGATGATAGGAACACCATGGTGGAAAAGTCTGTGTCACAGCTACTTATTTGATGAGGTTCCTTTGTGCATTCTTTTCACATGGAAAATTGAGATAACTTGAGAGCTTGTTGGGAAGATTAGAGCACACTTATAAAAATGGAGTAACATTTCTTCTACAAACGTTTGTTCGAGAGACGAAGTATACTGTGGGGATCAAGTGGTCCAGTTGACCTGGAGAACAGCTGATTCAGGTTGAACACTCAGGTGTGTTGTTGAGCGCTGTGTTGAGTGGTCAGGGAGGGCTTCCATGAAGGTGCCTGTTATGGAGCACCCCTGAATTGTGTAAAGAAATAAGTCATTTAGATAGTGTGTCTGGCTGGCAGAGAGATCAGCTTGGCATTTTGAAGTATGGCAGTGAGGTGTGGTGGTGAGCCATGGAGCTGGAGATAAGTGGGAAAGAGGTAGAGATAAGAATATAGGCTGGAGAGTGATCGAAAAAAACCATTGATACAGCTCTGCTAATAAATAATGGTAGATTTGAAAATCACATTCCAGTTATAGAAACACAAATTTAGGACTGGCTATTTGCATGATTTTATCAATTATTCAGCTGTAATTTGGAGTTCTTTTTAATGTGTGTACACAGTATTCCCATTTTACATACGTATGACTATTTGACCCTGAAATGAATTTTGGTCTTCACAATTACTTGCTATTACTTGGAGAGCTGGACAATGACTAAGGATGACAGAAGAAGAATCAATGCCTTTGAATTGTGGTGCTGGAGAAGATACTTGAAGATACCATGGACTGCCAAGAAAACAAATAGGTCTGTCTTGGAGAGGGTGAAACCAGGTTTCTCCCTGGAGGCTAGAATTTTGAAGCTCTGATTCACCTACTTTGGGCATGTGGTCAGGAAGGACCAGTCCTTGGAGAAGGACACCATGCTTGGAAGGGTGGAGGGACAGTTCAGGAGAGGAAGACTCCAGATGAGATGGATTGATAGAGTAACTGAGACAATAGGGGTAGGGGGGTCACAGTCAGTGAGACTGGCTCAGAACAGGGCAGGGTTCAGAGCCACTGTACATAGGGTCGCTATGAGTCACAGGCGACTTGACAGCACGTAACAACAACAACAACAACATGACCATTTTTTCCCTTTCCTGTACTTTAAACATTGTACCCTTGTAGTTCACTAAAGTGTAACGATTGAGAAGAGTCCTCCAAACTACCAGGTCTTCCCAGGACTTGTGACATCAACTGTAAGTGAAAGGGAAGAGTTTGTATAGGATCATGTTCAGTTTAGTCAGAACCTCCTTTTTCTCTTCTCATCTGCTCTGTGTGATTACCAGTGAGTCACGACTGACTCATAGTTGACTCTCTAGTGGGTTTTTGAGGCTGTGCGTTGCATGGGAGGGAGTCGGCCATCTTTCTCCCTCAGCATAGATATGATGGTGAATTCAGGCCACCAGACGGGTGCGACCTTTTTGTTGATGGTGCAGTACCCTACTGATTATGCCACCAGGCTATCAAGTAGGAACGGACTTACAGCTGACCCTCCAGTGGATTTTCAGAGGCTGCGCATGGCATGGGAGGAGATTGCCCGTCTTTCTGCCTGTGAACCCCTGGTGGATTTGAACCATCAGAGACACCACTTTGGGTTACCAGCACAACTGTCTACTGACTGTGCCATCAATAGGAGGACTCACAGAAGTCTCTAGCAACTACTCTGTTTCTCACTGCTAGGAAAGGTTACAGATTAAAAAATCAGATGAAGGAAAAAGTTCATGGCCCTGTCAGTGACAAGTTCTTTGTTGTTGAGCACTGTAGAGTTGAAACCCTCCGATGGGTTTTCAGAGGCAATTAATTGCTTGGGAAGAGATTGTCCATCTGTCGTCTGCGGAGGAGTAGCCGGTGACCTGAAACCGTGAGCCTTCGGGATTGCAGCACAGCTTCTTGACGCTAGGCCACCAGGTCCAAGTGCCTAAATTTCTCAAGTCCTGAGGACATGTTAGCATGCCGGCATGGATGTGTGAATGTACACATGGAATATTGCTGAACCAGGGAGCTGACTCTAACTTGAGTGATCGGAATTTGGATTGATGCTTCATTACTTTTTGTATGTACCAACTATTTGGAACCAACCCATAGCTGACCCTCCAGCAGGTTTTCAAGGGCGTTTAATGACACAGGAGGAGAGTGCCCATCCTTCTCCCATGGAGCAGCTGGTGGATTCCAACTGTGTGCTTTCGGAATGCAGTGCAGCTTCTTGCCACTAGGCCACCGGGGCTCCCTGCTTCATTACCTACACATGATTAATTGATCACCCTGTGGTTGAATTCCATCTCCTGCCTCCTTCCTCCCTAGAGATTGAGCTCATATTACCTTGGCTGAAGGGTTCACCAGAAATCGCCTCATCAGCACGAATGAACAAGTGTTGTTAGGAGTAGTGTGTCTATTTGTGCTCTATTGACTACGTAAAGTATTTGACTGTGTAGATCGTAATGAATTGTGACTAACTGAGAAGAATGGAATTCCAGAACACTTAACTGTGCTCATATGAAACCAATACTTAGATCAAAAAGCTGTTGACCAAACAGAGCAAGGGAACACGGATTGATTTAAAATCAGGAGGTGTGAGTGTCAGGGATGTGTCCTTTCTCTATACTTACTCAGTCTGTATGCTGTGCACATAATTCATGCATCTGGACTCGATGAAGAAGGGGAATGTGGGATCAGAGACAGAGGAAGACTCATCAACAACCTGTGCTGTGCTGATGACACGACCTTACTTGCTGCAAGTGAGGGGGATATGAAACTCTTGCTGTAGAAGATTAAGATCTCCAAGCCTTTGGTGTGGATGACATCTCAACATCAAGAAAACACAGGCTGTCTTACAGGTCCTCCATCTCATTCTGTCAAAATCCTTATAGATGGAGAGAAGATTGAAGCTGTCAATGATTTTATCTTGTATAGATTAATAATCATCACCTCTTAGTACTAGAAGTCAGGAAATTAGGAGACATTGCATTGGGCAAGTCAGCTCTCGGGAACCTCCCCAAGATACTTAGGAGTAACGATGTTTCATCTTCTCAATCATCTGTTACACATTAGAGAGCTGGAGAGTGAATGAAGATGACAGAAGAAGGATTTATGCCTTTGAGTTGTGGTGCTGGAGAAGAGTGCTGAATAGCCCGTCGACTGCTGAAAGAACAGAAAGATAAGTTTTGGAGAAAGTGCAGCCAGAGTGCTCCCTGGAGGCAAAGATGATGCTTTGTCCCTCCTACTCTGGACATGTAGCTAAGCAAGGCCATTCTTTGGGAAATAATATCAATCAGAAGATGAGTGGGAGATCCCGAATGAGATGGGTATACACAGTGGTTGCAGCAACGGCCTCGAGTGTGTCAGAGCTGATGAGGACGGCACAGGACAGGACACGGTTCCCGTTGGCTTTTCACAGAAGTGCTGTGAGTTGTACTTGAGTTGACGGTACCTCACAGCAACCACGGCAGTCAGAGTACGATGCCACTCTTCCCCTCTGCAGAAGTTCCCTGCTGGGAACACAGAGCAAAGAGCTACTTTGGCGCAGGTGAAATTTCATTCTTTCTTATATATTAAAATAAAAGTCCCAATGGAAAAGAAATTAAATGACTCTTATTCAAATCCAGTCTGTTTGAAACAAATAGGTTGCTCAGTGTATATTCTACAGATGTGTAATGCTTTTCTTACCCCGTCCACGTAATCATACTGTAAATATTGTTTATTTTGCCTTTATAAGGTCCCTGTATGTTTATGAAGGTATATATTTTTTATTATTATTAAGAACATCTACAGAGATTTTGGAATTCCATTCATTCATTGTTGCACCAAGGTGTATATTTTTGTGTGTACTTGAATGATTTCCCTGAAGCTGAGCAATGGTGATTTCTTCCATCTGGCAAGGAACTGTACTGCAATCCCAAAGGCACGCAGTTCGAGGCTACCGGCTGCTCCACAGGAGAAGGATGGGCAGATCTCCCCCTGTGTGATTAACTGCCTCTGAAAACCCACCAGAGGGTCAGCTATGGGTCGGTTCTGACTCTATGGTACACAACAGCACAACAACAATAAATAATCCTTATATATTCACCTTGGACACACACATATATATAATCTCTTTGCATTTCCATCCTTTTTTGTTCCTGAAATAAGTGTCTGGAAATAAAATGAGCGGATAGGGGTGTGGCTGTTTTGAAATTCCGCATGTGCTTTGCTACTTCTCCTTGAGCTGTGCTTCCTCTGGAACAGTTGATGAGGCTTCAAAATTATTCCTAAACTCCACATTACTCCTAGGTAAACAGTGCAGCCCCTACGACTTTAAATGTCGAATACAGCCACACTCCACATCTCAGCCCAGCTCTGGTTCCTGCCCTGCAGAATGGACCATTTGCCTTGTCCTCAAATGGTGGGAATGGAGAACCCGTGGGATCTGGGGCTTCTCACCCCAGTGGGAGACCAGCCTGTGAAGACTTTGACCAGATGATCAAAAATATGGCCCAAGTAAGAACACTCTCCCTTCTTGATATGATCAGGTGTACAGTATCTTACGAGAGTAATCAAGTCTCTGGCTAACTTGAATAGAGTGATAAGTATAACATAGAGAAAATAATCAAATGAAAAAGTTTATTTTATGAGAGCTTAGCTGGCTTTAGGTATGTTTATTAAATTTTTTGTCTTGACTCTCAGTTAGTCCTGAGTGTGATATAGTGTATTCCAGAAATCTTCCTCAGACCAAATAAAATCTCTCATTTTATATAAGATAAAATGCTCTCTTAGAAAAATTATTTCTCCTTTCCTGTCTTTTTTTCTCTTTGGACAAAATAATACTACTAATAAGGTGACCATGTACTGCTGTTGTGCAGAGAGTTTTCATGGGCCCATTATTTCTGAAGTCGACGGCTGTCCTGCTTCCTTTGATGTCAGAGGTCACACACTCTAGATCTAACCTGGTTATTGAAAGAGAAGAGAACTTGAAGCACTTAATAAAGAATGAGAGTATAGCCTTCAGTGTGGATTATTCCTTCACACAAAGAAAACACTCCTTACCACCGGACTGATAGGCAACATCTTGATAGATGGAGAGAAAAGATCAAAGTTGTTAAGGATTTCATTTTACTTGGATCCACAATCAACATCCGTGAAAACAAAAGTCACAAAATCAAAAGACATAATGCATGGGAGGGAAATCTACTGTCACGGAGCCTTTCAAAATGCTGAAGAGCAAACATGTCCCTTTAAAAGACTATGTTCCCAAGCTGAGCCACAATGTTTTCAGTTACTTCATATGCATGTAACATCTGGACCATGAATAAGGAAGATCAAAGAAGCTTTGGGGCCTCTGAATTGTAGTGTTGATGAAAAATATTGACTCTCGTGTGAACTGTGTAAACAACAGAGCAGATCTGTGTGGGGAGAAGTCCAGCCGAGTGCTCCTTCGAACTAGGGATGGTGAGACTTGGCCTAACGTTCCTGGAGCAGCCAGTTCCTGGAGGAGGAGTTTATGCTTCTCAGGTAGTTGTTATGTGCTGTGGCGTGAGATCCTAGCATGGCTGACCCTCCAGTGGGCTTTCAGAAGCAGTAAATCACACAAGGCGATTGCCTACCTTCCTCAGAGCAACGGGTATGCCTCAGGATTGGTAGCGCAGCTCCTTCCCAAGAGTGGCCTCAAGGAAAGGGAGCAGGTGGACTGGCACGGGGGTTCCGCCGGTGGGGTCGAGCGCAGCCAAGATTGCAAGGATGGTGCAGGCTCAGGAAACTTCCCTTCGTTGTACTCGGGGGTCGTTGTAGGTTGGAGTCGCCGATAGCAACTGACGGCAATGACAACAAGAGCACTGTCATTGCGGTACATGGCACTTAATTATGTTTCCTGCTTTGTGTCCTACAAAGGGCTGCCATGTGGAAGTTTTCGAGCTCCTCAAACCCCAAAGTGGAGGCCTCGGGTTTAGTGTTGTGGGCCTGAGGAGTGAAAACAGGGCAGAAGTGGGCATCTTTGTGCAGGAGATACAGGTGGGCGGTGTGGCTCACAGGTGAGGCTCCTACATCTTCTCTCTTGCCACCAACAGAAGGTGTCGACCACCCCAGGAGGATCTGAAGGAAACAACACAAATGAGGAACACCCGGCAAACAGAGCACTGAGTGTGATCTGTCATTAGCCAGTTTTAGTCCTTAAAGGAGTCTGCTGGCTGATATGCTGGACTTGTGAGCGATCCATTCAAGTTCGCCGCAAGCTGCCTCAGAACTAGGTTTGGTGCTCTTCTTCTCAATGATCAATCATTGCAGCTGTGTGGAGGACAGTTCCACTCTGAAACACATGGTGTTGCCATGAGGCAGAACAACTCAGAGGTAACCACTTAAATTCTTGTGGCCTGGTGGCAACAAACTGTGCTGCAGTCACAAAACCATGTAGTTCGAATCCACCAGCAGCTCCATGGGAGAAGGACGGGCAATTTCCTCCCATGACATTTACTGCCTCTGAAATCCTGCTGTAGGGTCTGCCATAGGTCAGCTCTAACTCAATGGCACAGAACTAGAACAATAGTAGAAAGAGGAAGCTCTGGTGCTGGCTTAGTGGTAAGGAGTTGTGCTGCCAACCCAAAGGCATGCAGTTCAAATCTACCCATTTCTCTGCAGAAGAAAGGTGAGCAGTCTCCTCTCTGCAATTAATTGCCTCTGAAAACCCACCAGCAGGTCCGCTATGGGTAGTTTCTGACTTGACAGTAAACAACAACAGAGTAGAGAAAGCAGCTCATTCAAAATAAGAGGAACTTATAAATATAGTTACACTGAATTACTTTGTAGAAAGAAAAGAAAGTTCTGAATGAATAATCACCATTTGTCACTGTTACTAGATGGGTTCTTGTATGTTACTGTTGTTGTTCAGTGCCGTCGAAGTCGTAGGCAACTCATAGCGACCTTATGAATAAAAGTCCTCTACACTTGCGGGACTTTCCTCCTTTCTCCAGGTTCATAGGGTTTCTGGAGGCAAGCTGTTACAGAAGTGGATGCCACCCCTGCTTCCAAGCTTGTTTGTTTTTGGTTCTTGTATATTAAACTTATTATTTATTTATCTGTCATTTGTATACAAATGGCCCCTGTATAGTTATCATACTCGTCTCTCATTGCTGTTGATTTGGACCTGACTCATACCTGATCCCCCACTGGGTTTTCAAGACTGTAAATCATATGGGAGGAGATTGCCCATCTTTATCCTGATGGTGGATTTGAACCACTAGAGGGGTTCAGCCTTTGGGTTACCAGAGCACTTCGTGTGGACTATGTTACTCACAGAACTTAGGTAAATACAGGCATTTGTACTTTGATTTTTTTGGCCAGCGCAGGCACATGGTGGCACAGGTGCTGCTAACCCGAAGATCACAAGTTGCTTCCACCAGCAGTTCTGAGAGAGACAAAGGTGTGAGTTCGCTACCTTAAAGCTGCCAGTCTGTTTCCAGTTGATGTGTAGGGCCTTAGTCCTAGGGCTTTGCTGAGAGGCAGAATTAACGTGGGCCACCAATTAGTTTTCATTTTCAGATGTTAGAAACACCAAAGATACAGAGAGAGGGTTGAGTAAGTAGCTGGAAGAAAAGCATTTTTAATCTGGGAGGAGAAGTAATTAGAAGTGGCACTGAGTTTATCTTGAACAAGAGTTGGTTACCTGGAGCCAAAATACTTTTTTGGAAAGAAATAGAGCTGGGAAGAGATTTTAAGAGAATACAAGTTGGAAAATAGAATTCAAAGCAACCTGAAAATACTGCCGACGGAGCAGTCATTGTCAGGAGAGCTGTCATCTGTTTCTTTTTCTTTTCTTGTCCCCCCCTATCTTTGCCCCCCAATCCTTGACAGAGATGGAAGGCTAAAGGAAACCGATCAGATCCTTGCTCTCAATGGGCAGGCACTTGACCAAACACTTACGCCCCAGCAGGCTGTCAGAATCCTTCAGAAAGCCAAAGAGAAAGTCTAGCTCATTATCGCCAGAGGCTCCTTGCCGCAAGTCATGGGCCCCGTGGTGTCCCGCTCTCCATCTGCGGCCAGCACCATCTTGGCTCACTCCAATCCAGTGAGGACAGGTCTTTACACAGAGAAGAGCGTGGACCTCTCATGGCTTGGCATGGTCCAATACCTGGAGTTCGTTTGGAGTTTGAGTGTTCTTCCCCCCTACTCCAGAGTATTCGTTCTTTAATCGTGATTACATTTAAAAGTTTCTAACAGCCATTGCAGCTCTGTGTCTTAGTGGTAAGGAATTGCACTGTCAGTACAAAGGTATGGGGCTCAAGTCCATCTGCTGCTCCATGGGATAAAATAGGGAATCTCCTCCCCTGCATTTTGCTGCTTCTGAAAACCCACTGGAGGGTCAGCTATGGGTTGGTTCCACTCGACACTTACACAACAGCCCAACCTTTGTCTTTCATTATATCGTTTTTCCACTCAATTGCATTTCTCCAAGAAAATTCAGACTTTTGACAAAATTGGCTTTATCTGTAGAGAGAGATCATCTTGCTGGCGCTCTGTAAATGATGGGATTGTACTGGACAGTGAGCGGTCGGTGACTGAGGAGTCAGCTGATTTGGAGCCCTGCATATAGGCAGGATTCTGCAGAAGGCATCTTTAACTGGTAACAGTTTCCCCCTTGATCTTTTTCTCTTTTTAAATTATTTTTTTGAAGGAAGTTCTGCAAAGACTCTTGCAAACCATTGCCTATTTTTAGCTGGTTAAATGCAGTTAGTTCATGCCACATATTTTAGCACATTTTCAAGTGGAGCCAGTTCTTGGAAAAAGACACCATATTGGGGAAGACCATCAGAAGAGAAGAAGACCCTCAATGGGATGGACTGACATGCTGATTTCAACAGTGTTCTTGAGCATGGCAGAGCTTGTGAAGATAGCAGGAGGCACAGCTCGCTCCACAGCCCCTGAAACATTAGGGTGTGTTGGTGATTTCAACGATAGTAGTATCAATCTGCTGAAAGTGTACAGGCAAGATAGGCAATCCCTGGCCTAGAGTTTCAGAGCCTCATTTAATACCATCCTTGGAGTTTCTTTCCATCCAACTTGTTAGTCAAATGCATTACAGAGAATTTCAAAATATATATGTACGTTTCTAACCCCAAATCAAAGAATTGATTTATAAAGACACTCATAATAAAAGAAATTATGTTGAAAAGGGAAAATAAAAATGCATTTGGCTTACCTCAGAATCTGCTTTCTACAGAGTCATTGGAATGAACAGAAGCTGGTTATAATTTTGGGATTACCTATATAGTGGAAGGAATAAAGGTACAGCATTAGACTCATTATTATATCTGATGTTCATGCAGAGTTTTGTTTTCAGGTTCACTGGCAGCACGTGGAGACCATTGAACTGGTGAATGATGGATCTGGTCTGGGATTTGGCATCGTAGGAGGAAAGACAACTGGCGTGATAGTCAAAACTATCCTGCCAGGGGGAGTAGCCAGTCAGGTAAGCCACATCAGTGTATCTTCCTGCTGTTTCACTAGGTAATAAGGTGTCTTCCTTTATTTTTTCTTTGAGAAAGAAGAAACTGTGGTCTTCCATAATGTCACAGGTACTGCATCAAATTTACTGGAGAAAGCTATCTGTCAAGTGTTCAGGAAAACTTTAGGGAAGTTACATTTGCAAAAGAAACACTGATCCTAAGTGGTAGTTAGAATCTCAGTCTCTTCCCATTTTTTGTTGTTCTTGTTCCCTCACCTGGGATTTTTGTAACACAGTCAAAGTACTACGAGGATGGTTATTCTAACTCTTGTTGTTCAGCATGGACGGCTGTGTAGTGGAGACCACATTCTAAAGATTGGAGACACCGATCTCGCGGGAATGAGCAGTGAGCAAGTTGCACAAGTCCTCAGGCAGTGTGGGAACAGAGTGAAGCTGGTGATTGCCAGGGGAGCCGTAGAGGAAACCGCAGCTCCAGCCTCGTTGGGCGTCACTCTGCCCCAGCCCCCATCTTCCTCACCAGAAATGCGGGTAAGTTTGTGGTTTGTTTTTTTTAAAAATCATTAATTTAAATGAAAATTTACAGAGACTATGGATTTACATTCATTCATTGTTGCACTTTTTCTCCCTGCCCACCCCTACCTCCAATACACTCTTCTCTTTGAAAAGTAAAAGAAAAACTCTTTCATTGTTACACACACACACACACACACACACACACACACACACACACACCCATACACACACCCATGCAGCCTTTGTTCTGGACTCCTGTCATGACAAAAATACCTAATCACATATCCCTTTTAAACATTTTCTCCCTCAATTGTTTCAATGCAGTATACATTATTTATCCCATCTTTCTCAATCTGCCCCTAACCCCAATGTCAGTCCTGTTTCACAACAGTGGCACTATGCAGTATTTGTCTGTTTGTGACTGAGATATTTCACTCAGCATAATGTCCTCCAGGGTCACCCATTTTGAATAATATTGCATGAGTACCTTGTTTTTCAATGCAGTGTAGTTTTCCATTATGTGAATATACCACAGCTTTTCTATCCATTCGTTTGTTCATGGGCACTTAGGTTGTTTTCAACTCCTTGCTATGCGGTTAAGTTTTGATTAACAGTTAATGTGAAGGTCAGATACAGTAGTGCTTCGATGACAGTAATGTTTATTTAGAGACTAGACCTATATGGTCATATATATAATATATGGTCATATATTAGTGTTAATCATGAAACTCAATTCAAAGATAAATGTGGTTGAGCCCTTACAGCTTTCTATCCAGTAGGAATACTGAATAATACAGATTTTAAAAAAGTTACTTTTTTTAATGTAAAAAAGTTACTTTTTTTAATGTAAAAAATATTAGATTTTTACATTGCCTTCTGTAAAAATTTTTAAATCATCACATTGCCATTTTCTAACATGTTCATAGGCCTATTTTAAAATTTGGATAGAGTGTGAGAGGATTATTTGCCGCTGATACCTAAATGACTAGATCTTTCTTTTACTTAGATCTCTGTGAGGTAGATTTTAAGCTCAAATCATTCCTGTTCCACAGTTTTAAGAATTTTTCTCTTTCAAGTGTGTGGGTTTGAGGACTGAAGCTGTTTTGTTAGGGCTGAATAAAGCTTGCAGAGTCTTTCAGTGTAATTGGTTTAAGGTATGTCATAGAACTGTTATCAGATGTTTAATAAGCAGGCATCCCCTTGACCCTGTTACACAATCTTTTAAACAAAAGTCATACTTCTGAGGCTGTAACAAAAGCTTTATTCAAAACCACAGCAATCCATCTTTGTCTTTGATTTGATATGAAAAAAGCTGGAATATTTCAAAATTTTGGAATGTAGTGGTTAAATAGTTTATAGGTCAAAAGTTTATGGTGGAAAAAATAGCAATGAAATATTTTTATCCAGAAGTCTCTTACATTTTTAGAATTACACCAAATTCCTAAGTAAACTTTATAGCAAATACAAGTTTTATAGTCCTTTCCTATTTATATAAAAAAAATTCTGTGCTTTTTTGTATTATTTTCTGACTAGTTGCTACAAATTCTTTTTTACATATTCTCACTTCCTCCATAAGCCCTTTCATACTTTATTAGAGCACTTGAAATTTCAATGAATCCGTTGTTTCTAGGGTTGAGTTTGGTTGCTATTTTTTTGCAAAAAAGAAAGAAGTAAGGAAAGCAAGCTTGTTTATGCAAGTATTTAAATGGCATTCTTTTGTGGTAAATAAAACATTTTATTCAGCAATACATAAATGAATGCGATACCGAAAACCACTTGATGTAATTGAACGCTTAGAAAAATATCTATTCTGTGCGTATCATCATTTCTGAAGCTGGTGCCCCTTTTAAAACCATTCGATAGTCAAATTGCCACCCTCTAAAATAGCACTCGCATAAGTCTTATTAAAAATAGAAAACACATTTGTTTCAATTGAAGCAGATTTCATCCTGTCATTTTCTTGTAATTATCTAAACTTTAAACTTTTGCTAAGTTTGCACAGATAATTATGTGCAAAGAAAAAAATTTATCAAACTTTACTATAAAATTGTATCTTATTTACACGGACTGTTTATAAGATGTCTTGAGAACTTGCTTCAATACAATCAGAAAATGCTTGAGCTAGCCCCCAACTGTATACGTGCTAGACCCCACAGCGAGAGCTCCACTAGACCAGGTGTCACCCAGCCTGCTAGTTCATGGAGCCACCCCTTCCATGGACTGACCCCTCCCATACCAGACCCTCCACAATCCTTGGTAACATTTTAAATCATAGAATAATAGGTGATACAGATAATTGCAAATTGCTTGAAGGTAATATTTCTGTGGTTATACTAATAATGAACTGCTTTGTAAAATCTTTCTACGTAGAATTGCGACATTATTAGAATAATATGAGTAACTGAAAGGCTTTAATGAACTGCTTTGTAAAATCTTTCTACATAGAATTGCGACATTATTAGAATAATATGAGTAACTGAAAGGCTTCTTAACAATCTTTCTCCTTTTCCTTCACTACTGCCTTATTCTCAAATTATTAATATGTTTATAAATAATAATCACCACTACATTGTTGCTAACACAGTGGAAAATTTGAAAGAAGCCCAGTGATTGCAAAACACGGAACTAGACTCGCCACGATGGAGTCAATTCCAGTCATAACAGCTCCATCAGGTGTCGGAGGCTGCACATTGTAACAGGAGGAGGCGGCGGCCTCTTTTCTCCCTCAGATTCGATCTGCCACAGACATAAGCCTTTTGATGAGCAGTGTGACGCTCTGTGGGCCACACTGGCAGAGCTCCTCCATAAAAGCGCTGTTGTTGTGCTGTGTACCATCCGCTTGACGACCTGAGGAGTCTTTGTGGATTCAAATCACCTGCCTTGAGGTTGGCAGCACAGTTTCTCACCCACGAGGCCACCAGTGTTCCCCTAAAAACAAATGGCAGCAACACAAACAACAGTCCGTGCTTGTAATATGTGCAGGTGAATTTGAAGCATCCTTATAACTGGAAAGATAACTCTGACCACAGAGCCTTGGAAGAGTTACAAAGAAAATTAGCATGGAGATCTAGCTTTGGAGGTGTTTTGATATATGTGTGTGCTGCATACATGTAAACCAGGAAGCTCTGGTGGCTACTGCAAAGAAGCTGTGCTACAATTCCGAAAACATGCAGTTTGAATCCACCCCGAGGAGAAGGGTGGACCATCTCCTGTGTGATTTCCTATCTTGCCACTGAAGGGTCAGCAGTGGGTTGGTTCTGACTCCAGGGCAAACATCAGCATCATGCAAAAACTACTTGTCTGTCTCTACAGAAAAGAATGTGTTTCTTTTAAAATGCTACACCAAAATTTTACAGAGGCATTTTGGCATCACCTTCTTTGATGGTGTCACTTGATATGATTCATATCCCTGAACCTCGCCAGTGATGTCACCTCCTGAAACCTGATCTTCTGAGCTCTTCCTGTGTTTTCTGTAGCACCTGATACACACACTTGTGTATCATGCCAGCACCTTACTGATAACTCTTTACTACTCAGTTAATATTTATGTGGTGAAACGATCCCTTCAATTCAGCTTACGATATATAATAATACAATTAAAAAAAGTCCTAACAAAAGCTGACATTTGAAAAACCTACTTTCATTCCAGGGTGTCAGTGCAGAAAGGGATGTTTTAAATAGCTTTAAACTATAGTCTTTAAATGATTTCTCATACTGATTTATCAAATTTCAAAACAATAAATGAGGAGAAGATTTTAAATAGTTTATCACTGGTTTTCAGAGTAACTCAATAGCAAATTAATTGCCTATCTGGAAGTTTGACTAATGCATTCATTGTGTTAGATGCAATTATCAATTTAAGATAATAATAAAATGAGGAAGGAGGAAAATGTGCAGTTTGGTCTACTCTGACTCATAGCACACTAGCATTTCCTGTATAGATGGTGCTCTTATATTCTGTTGCAAACCAACCAACCAATGCCGCTGTTGACCAGTTGATAGCAAGTCATAGTAACCCTTCACTGGGGTTTCGAGGCTGTGGTTTTTTAATTGTTATTTTATTTTATTATTTTTGTGTGAGTGTACCGTCAAATCAGATCTGACTAGTACAGGAGGAGATTGTCCCTCCTTACCCGGCAGAGCATCTGGTGGATTCGAACCGTTCGCCTCTGGGATTGTAGTTGCAGCTCCTTGCCACTAGGCCACCAGAGCTCCCCAAGGCTGTGGTTCTTTAGAAGAGAAGTCTGCTTCTTTTCCCCCATAGAACAGTTGTTGAGCCCAAACCTTCAGTCTTTCAGCTTGCAGTTTACCATCCAATGCACTAAGCCATCAAGGCTCTTGCAAAGAACGTATCACTTCAGAGCCAGAACTCTGCAACTGGAACCTTCTGGGTTTGAATCCCACTTCTACTGTGACCGTCCATCTTTGGAAAATTCTCTCTGTGTCTCAGTTTTCCCCAAAGTTAACAAAATTATTTCCTCTGTCACGTAGGCTTACTCTAAGAGGAGATGAATTCAAACATCGTGATTCTCTGCTAGGTAGAATGTCCTCAGTGTTAGCTGGATTTATCATTATTATTATTACTATCCTGATAAATCCTCAGATTAAGTAGCAACATACATTTGCAGCTACTTGATTTAAAACATAAACTGTTTTCAGTGTACTACATCTCAGCTCCTTTGCAACTGAAGATGGACAATCTCTCAGAATAGTAACAAACTGCTATGCTTTTAATTCTGGGTGTACAAATAATAATGCCCTTCTTTGAAAAGATGAGTTTCACCATTGTTACTGAAATGGCTTTCTGAATATATACCTGATGCTCAGTCCATGTCTTAATGATGAAAGGTGTGATCCCTATAAGAATTCTCAGTGAATTTCTGACACCTGCTTACATCACATTATTACCAAGAAAAAGAAAGCTTGTTTTGAACTTACATATTTGTGTATTGTATTTTAGGTCGATGCTTCAACTCAGAAAAATGAAGAAAGTGAGACATTTGATGTGGAACTCACGAAAAATAGCCAAGGATTAGGAATTACCATTGCAGGTTACATTGGAGATAAAAAACTAGGTGCTTATAAATGTTCACGTTCTTTCATTGTCTTATTAAATAATGAATAAATTATATGTTCTAAGATTGTTAGATAAACTGGAAAGTTCTTTTGGAATCATTTAATGTAAGCAATTCTAATTTTGCGTAAAACAGATAAACAATTTTCTTTTTGTGTAGCCTGTATCCACAAATACTTTTGTTTATATGGGTTGTCAATATCTGTCTATGGGAAATGAAGATTTTATACTTAGGGAATGAAGGGTAGACGTTCTGACAAATAACCTATTTTTAATCTTAGAACCTTCAGGAATCTTTGTAAAGAGCATTACAAAAAGCAGCGCTGTTGAGCATGATGGAAGAATCCAAATTGGAGATCAAATTATAGCAGTAAGTGACACATTTAATAATAGCTTTGCTGATTTCTATGCTTGAGAACTACATTCTTCTAGTATACTCAATTTTAAAAACTAATGTAATCTCAATGTTAGCTACACTTGAGTAATTTAAGGCTAATATTCCCATTAGCTATTTTATTATTTTGTTGAAGTAAAGTAGACTTCTGGTGAATGCAGTTCAAACATTTGGGACTTCTTGCTTGAATAAAATCTGGTACATTCCATTTCTGTTTGGAATGAATCTGTTACATTAGTTAATATCACACTTGGATTTTATTTTCCAGAGTTTCCAGAGCTAAAACCTTTCTTGTATCTGAAACTGATTTTGGCATGTTAATTCCTATCATTGTTGCTTTGGATCAGCAGACGGACACTGTTATTAGCTACTCCATAGGCAGTGAATTCATTAAATGTAATAGTTTCATCCCTTCTTAATCTAGCTCACTGTTATTAGGGAGCTCTGGTGGCCCAGTGGTAAGGAGAGCTGCCGGTACAAGGGCACACACTTTGAATCTGCCAGCTGCTCTCTGGGAGAAAGACGGAGGGTGTCTTCCTGTGTAATTTACAGCTTCTGAAACTCCGCTGGAGGATCACCTAGGAGTGCCTCCTTCTTTTTGGCACAATGAGAACAATATTATTGTTATTATCTTGAAGGCATGGTCATCCATAAGTTGTAAGCAGATAGCTCTAAAGTGATTTGCAAAAGAATCCTGTTTTGTAATGAACCAAGGAAACTGGAGTTCTCAAACTACCCAAGTACTCCCCTGAATGGAGATTCAAGAGAAGTTTGCACACAGAGTTTCCTAGTCAAGTCAGTTTAGGACAAACTATGGGTGATAAGATGTCTTAAAAGTTCCCAATGAACACTGTAAAATTGAATACCCTGACACGTACGTACTGCCTTAGAGAAATCTGCTTCACCTTGATATTTTCTAAACTTGAATAATTGTAGGGTTTTTCTTTTCTTAAGCATATATTGATAACATTTGGAAATCATCATGGGAAATGTTGATTGTAAGCCTCTGTTGTTTCCTTGTGATCGTCGTAGTAATAAGAGCTCTAAAGGAGAGAGATGTTGTCTCTGTTCTCTTTTCAACTCTAAACAGTCTCATTGCTTGTAGGTTTTTGTTTTTTAATTCCAACTTAGACTTCTTAATCAACTTCTTGAAAGCTAATCTAAAAATGAAGTTTGTTTTAAATAAAAAAAAAATAAAAATGAAGTTTGTCTATAAGCTAAGCTGTTGCATGCTGGAAATAAGCTTTCTCTACTACTGTATTTCAACTTAATATAATACAATAAAAATTATCCATTTTACGATCTGTGATGCATTGTCTGCTGAGAAGAACAAGACATGATCTACTGATGAATAGCGAAGACCAAAAATGCCTTCAGAACATCTCAACATGTAGAAAACACAAAATCTCACAGCTGGAGTAATAAGCGACGCCTTGATGAATCCCTAAAATATCAACATTATAAAGAATTGTTTTTGGATGCCCCATCAACAGCTGTGAAAGTTGTAACCAAGAAATCAAGTAGATATTATAATGGGCATATCTGCAAAAGACCTCTTCAAAGAGTTTAAAAAGCAAAGACCACCAGAAAGACTAAGGTGCACCTGAGCCAAGCCATGGCATTTTTATTTAGCTGATACACATGAAAAAGCTGTACAAAGAATAAGGATGGAAGACTGAGGAAGTGATACCTTTGAATTCCAACACTGGAAAAAAATATTTAACATAAGGCCCCAGGAATAGATGGCATACCAATTGAAGTATTCCAGATAACAGATGTTGCCCTGGATGTGCTCACCAAGTTGTGCCAAGAAATATGGAGAACAACCACTTGGCCAACTGATTGGAAGAGATCT